GTGGTGGTAGCTGGTGAAATCCGAATACTGGGGGGGCGCAGGCACGTAGTTCTGGGGGCTGAGGTTCAGGCTGGGGTGCCTGACAGGGTTAGGGTACATGCTAGTGTCCTTCTCCAAAAGGTAGCCCACATACATCATCCCCGGATGGCCCTGGGCGCATAATGTGCCTCTGCAGCTGTCTCAGGAGAGGCCTGCGCTCCCTGCTGGTAGCTGGTGAAATCCGAATACTGGGGGGGCGCAGGCACGTAGTTCTGGGGGCTGAGGTTCAGGCTGGGGTGCCTGACAGGGTTAGGGTACATGCTAGTGTCCTTCTCCAAAAGGTAGCCCACATACATCATCCCCGGATGGCCCTGGGCGCATAATGTGCCTCTGCAGCTGTCTCAGGAGAGGCCTGCGCTCCCTGCACCTCGGCTCCCACTCCCTTCCTGGTGAGCTGTTCACCTGAACCTCTGGGGCAGCTGTTCCCTCTGGGCGAAGGCACCTCCCTGAAGAGAGGCGTTTTATTGGGCCAACCTCTGGGAGCATTTGCATTGAAAGGCAGGTTTGCATTTCAAAGGGGCAGGCCAGGGGGGTGAATTTCTCAGGAGAGGCCTGCGCTCCCTGCACCTCGGCTCCCACTCCCTTCCTGGTGAGCTGTTCACCTGAACCTCTGGGGCAGCTGTTCCCTCTGGGCGAAGGCACCTCCCTGAAGAGAGGCGTTTTATTGGGCCAACCTCTGGGAGCATTTGCATTGAAAGGCAGGTTTGCATTTCAAAGGGGCAGGCCAGGGGGGTGAATTCAAACGGTACAAATTGCTTGTCCGAGAGAAGAAGAAACGGCCCAGGGGGGCGGGGGGGGGGGGGGGGAGTTTTTGTGCTGGGGGAAGGTTGAGTGGCTGCAGGGAACAGAGACCTACCTCCGGCACAAGAAGATCCCTCAAAGGCCAATGCAAGAAAACGAACGGCTGGAAAAACACAAAAGTCCCCCCAGTCTGTGCGAGCCCCTCCAATGCCACAATGCAGCCCAGTCTCTTTTTGATCGCCCCCAGCATTATTAGGGGCCGAGCCAAAGCCTAATGACTTTATTAAAGTCTTCCTATTGCCTCCAGGGGGTTTGATTGGGCCCTGAGGATCCCTTAACGCTCACCTGCCCCGGGATATATTAGCACCTCTCCAAATCACAGACATGCCCAGATTTGGGTTTCTTTCCCTTGCGACCGCACTGGCACTGACTGGGTGGGGGTCACTTCAGAGGTTTTTGTCAAGAGTCTTATTTCCCCCACCCCCACTTGCTGGTCAGGCCCCAGGAGCGTTTGGCTGAGGACCCAGAGAAACGCGCCCGCTACGCACAAGGTACGGACGTTCCATGCGAACACAGAGAGTAGAAAAGGCCAGACTTTTTTCCTCTGAAGGTCCAATCTGTCACCCTTTTAAACCCAGGCATCACAAAGCTCCCGGGTCCGATCGTGGAGAGCCTTCCAGTTTCTTTTGACCGGCAAAAATCTGTCTCTGGCTTTTTTTCTTCCAGCCTGATTCAGGCCAAATGTCAGGAAGCTAAAGAGGAGTTTTGTTTGCATTAAAAAACTTGGTGACGTGAGAAATCCCTTAAGTTACAAAGGAGCTTGCAGAGGGCCTGGCTTTGTTAGAGTACCAGGCCAGGGTAAGACTTTAGTTACCTCCGCAGCACATACATGCTGTATGCGTATGGCTGTTGGACTCCCCAGGGGCCAAACTGTTACACCCAGGAAGGCCAGGCCAGGCTGTGATGACAGTGGATAATGAAATCCGTGTGAGCAGGGCAAGCGAGGGGATCTGGCTGCCTGCACGGAGCTACAAGTGGTGGCAGGTTGCAATAGTCTGGGGCTGAAAGTTTAACTGGCTGTGAAGCACAGCCCTGGGGCTACGCATGGAAACCCGGACGGGTAACTCCCGGCACCTGCTTCCTAGGAAGGAGGGTCAATTTCATACCGATTTGGAGAATGGGATTTTCCTTTCCTGTGTGTTTAGACTTACCAAGGTCCAAATCCGGATCAGACCAAACAAGGGAGCAGATACCAGCTAACTAAGGGCACTGACGACATCAAGAGCGGTCCTGAACTAATCTGTCAGTGAAGTCTTTTTTCCTCCCCGTGCAAGGACAGGACTGGCTCTGCCGGCCCAGCAGTGCCTTATGGGTACCGCAGGGTGAACACTGCTCGGCTGGGGGGAGGCTCCAGCCATCAGATCTGATGGTGATCTGGCAGGTTGAGGGAGGGGTCAGATGCATCTCTAGGAGTGGCAGGGGACTATTGATGGCACCCCACCCTCTCCCGCAGCTCAGCCCCAGAGCAGCTTCCTAGCCTGGCTCTTGTGCTTGAGGGAGGAACTAGTGGGGGAGGGGCTAAAAGGAAAAATAATAAAATGCAATGGGGAGGGGGGGAGCTGGCTGCCTTCCACCCCACTCCTCCCTGGGCACAGTGCCAGTGCCCCTTTGTACGGTTACCTACCAGGTCCCAGATATGGCACGTCCCTATGCTGATGCAGTCTCTGCAGGGTGTTTATTGGAAGGAAAACCCTGGCTCCACTCAGTTCCTGCCGCATGGAAGTTTATTCCCAGGAGAGGAGAACCCAAGCACAACCTTCTGCCTGCAAACCACAGCTGGGTTCTGATGCCAGGCCGCACCAGTCATGGGCAACCTCTGCCCAGAGCCTGATCCCTGAATGTGGCAACCAACCCCCCCTTCACTTCAGTGGGGTAGTGGGCCCTGCCCCCTGAGCCTTGCCAGGTGGCGTGCAGTCCTGCATGAACCAGCGTCCCAGGGCTGAGAGTGGGTGGATGGGTCTGATTGTCCCTGCGACAAACGCTGTCACTGTGCTGCAGAGACAGAGAACAGGCGGAGAAGGAACTACGCTGTTGTCAGAATGAAATAAACAAGGTGACTGAGGAACATGCAGAAGCTCTGTCTGTAGTACAGACCAACAGCCCAACCTAATCCAGTCTGGCTGTAGAGTTTTAAAACCACAAGGAACCATCATAATCTCCTCAGTCCTCCAGCACAGCCCAGAACCTGACTCAATATATTCTATATACAGGTTGACCCTCTCTAATCCGGCACTCTCTGGTCTGACAGCATCTGTGGTCCGCCTTGATTTTAGTTAGCAAGATGTCCACTTATCAATGGTGTGGCCAAGTTCCCACAGTTTGTTTACAGCCACCAGTTCTGGCTCTCAGTGTTCTGTGCTGTTACGTAGCTCTAATTCACCCGTAAATGTCTGCTCAGAGCCCAGTAAGCAGTGGAAGTGTTGATAATGCTGCTAGACAATATTGCAATTTGCAGATTCTCTGGTTTGGCACAGGTCAGGTTCTGAGGATGCCAGACTAGAAAGGTTCAACCTGTAGTGGGCTGCATACATTTGGTGCAGAGGCCTACAATAATCTAGATGCTGTTTATTTTGGAGAATAAAGTCAGCATCCCTTATCTGCCTTGTGCCTCTCAACCTTTTTAATTTTTTTAATATTTGAACTCTTTCAGAGAGGGAGCCGGGTTTCTGAAAAACAACGAGGAGAGCGGTGGCACTTTATGCCCAAATAAACTGGCTAGTCTTTAAGGTGCGACAGGTCTCCTTGCTGTTCTTGTGACTAAGAGGTTTCATGTAAGCACCTATCTATGTCTCTTAGAAGTGTTGTGACTTAACCTCGCAGGCTTTAATCATAAACACTCTGTCCAGATTGAGCATTTGTAACTGCCCGGCTGTACCATTTTAAAAAAATGCCTTCGCAGCTGGAATTTGACCCTCACTATCTTGTGTCTCAGAAGGACTATTTTTTTTCCACCAAAGTGAGGAAGAAAATGTCCTCAGCCTTTGCTTTTCAGTTTAAAAAGTTTGCATTGCTTTCTAAAAACAAAAAGAAAATCGGAACATTTATTTTATTTTATTATTAATTACTTTACACGATAAACAATCCAGACATGTTTAGCTATATGAACACTACATCTGCATGGAATTCTTTCTCTTGTAGCACTCCGCCAACTATAAAATGGGTTTGCCCCAGAATGCTGACAGCTTGTTCCCAGAACAGCACAGTCCCCCTGTTTATTTCTTACCCACACTGGGAAAAGAAAGCCACATGGTGACACTGGGGACGTTGTCAAGTCAGCACCGACAGTGCAGAACACCAGCCTTTCTTTGCTTTTCTCGGTGTCAGAGATTTGCAGGTCTGGAGTGACCCTTCTGACCATCTAATCTGGTCACCAGCAAGACCAGAGTAATGGGTAGCAGGTTTAAAACTAATAAAAGAAAGTTCTTCACACACCGTGTAGTCAACCTGTGGAACTCCTTGCTAGAGGAGGTTGTGAAGGCTAGGACTAGAACAGAGTTTAAAGAGAAGCTCGATAATTTCATGGAGGTTAGGTCCATAAAAAGCTATTAGCCAGGAGATAGAACTGGTGTCCCTGGCCTCTGTTTGTCAGAGGCTGGAGAAGGCTGGCAGGAGACAAATTGCTTGATCATTGGCTTCGGTCCACCCTCTCTGGGGCACCTGGTGCTGGCCACTGTCGGTAGACAGGATACTGGGCTAGATGGACCTTTGGTCTGACCCAGTACGGCCGTTCTTATGTTCTTATGTAAGACTCCAGCCAAAGATCCTCACCAGTAATTCCTGCATCTAGCCCATAGCGTGTGGCTGAGTTGCTGCAGACCTTGTAGAGTGACATCCAGTCCTCATGTAAAGACTATCCGAGAAGGCTGATCCCCACATCCTTAGACAAATTGTGCCAATGGTTAATCACTCTTCCCAGTAAAAACCTTCACCTTATTTCTAGTCTGATTTTTGTCTAACTTCCGTTTCTGACCATTGGATCGCATCGCTGCCAGGCACCAGGTAGTAAATTATTGTTTCCATCAAGCCCTGGAGATTTTTTTTCAAGTATGTATTAAAATTATTCAAATGAGAGAAGCATGAAAGTCCCGTCTTCTGCACTGAGCCTGCATCTGCTCTTACCAAAACACTCATTTGCTTCAGTTGGCACAGAGGTGGGCTTTGACTGGAAGCTTCTTGGGGCAGGGACTGACTTTTACCACTCCTAGCAGCCCCGTGGGGTTCTGGGGCTCCTAAGTGGGACTATGATACTAGATGCTAATAAAGAATTCTTGGGCCCAGAGTGGAAAAGCGGGCCATTTATGTGGATAGAGACTGTGGAGGTAAACTGAGCAGGTAACAGTCTGGAGTGGGTTTTGATGGCAATGGGGATCCTCAGTGGAACATTAAACCCACGACAGTTCCGGTCCCGCCTGTGGATACACAAGATGAACACTCTCCTACGCCCTCCAGGAGCTAATGTGTGAAGAGATCACTTCCAGCATGGAAGCTGGCTTTGTAGCAGCCACTTCTCTGCCGCTGGGCCGTGTACAGAATTGGTTCCCCTTTTCCTCCCTCCCTGCACCATCCCCTGATGTCTCATGTCATAAACCCTTCCAGTTTCCCACGGGCCAGAGCATCCTG